ATGAAATTTTGTGTATAGGATTTAGTTGATTAGAGAATGGTTTAGATTTAGAATTGGACCCAGTAGGTGGCGTTGTTTTCGAGGTCCAGAAATTAACCGTGCGAAGCTGGGATGAATCGCTGGTAAGTTATAAATAACTATAATTGTTTTGTTACGAGCTTCCTTGAATTACTGATATTGTGGAATTCTACTTGTCTTTTATATACGGGATCCGCAGTAAACTCTTCAATTTTTTTTTTGTGCACAGTACTTATTATTTTGATCAGCCTTACAAGGTTTCAGGCTTAGGAAACAAATACTTTCAAAAATAAAAAATATCAAAATTTGCTAAATTAACGGATCTTGACGGTACATATCTACTAAATATCAAACGAAACGCGAACTCATTGACAACCAAATTTTGCGATTTTAAGTCATGTCATTCAATGTTTGTACTCGCGTTTGAGAAGAACCCCCCCCCCTCCCTGTGCCACTCAATGGGGCTCCGACGACTACTAATGTAGTAAAAAAGCACAGAGAATTTAGGATGCACGAACGAGCGCAGCGAGCTAGGGGTCTTGGGGCACCTGACTTGGACAGGTTAAGTTCGAAGGGGATGGCTGGGTCTAGAGAGCGAGCGAAGCGAGTGATCTAAGACCACAATCCCTTGTGACGACTAGAACTAGATATAGACGGTGTTTATATTTAGATTTCTTCGCTTGAATCTAAACTGTCTGACAACAATGTATTTTTATCAATGGTACATAATTCGTAACTGCTGTATCAAGAAATTTACTGGCATTATTAGCGCTATCTTTTCCGCCCAATTCAGACTCCAAATAAGGTGAATTCCAAAAACTCTGCAACTGTGTCACTATTTCAATGTCAAAAAGCATTCATGTCGATATAAATCGAATTATGACGAAAGGTGGTTAATACAAAGTAATCAAATTTATAAAGTACTGACTACTATTACGAACGCAAAGTATATAAGTACAAGAAAATATTCAGCTGTAAATACAGGGTTATTTTACAAAGACTAGCCAAATTTTATAATTAAGTTCTAAATATAAATACTTATATACACTTTTTGCAGTTTATAAAAATACGCGTAAAAGTTTCTACGTTTATTTGAAAATATCGCTGCGCATGCGCGTGCGCTAGTGTGTACGAGTCATTTCAAGGAGCCTTTGCCTTCTATTTACTTCTCACTACTAACTTGATAACTACGCGACGCGAATTATGATTCCAATTCTTCCTTCATAATTTTAACGGGCTTAGGACAGAAAAAATTTTTTTTACATATCAACGACCTCCTTATTATGGCGTATTTAAAAATTGGAATCAAGTATTTAAAACTATTAACAATTTAAAACGACTAACTATTTACAACAATGAACTATTTAAAACATAAATATGAAATAACTAAAAATCACACTAACAATTCACAAAAATGTTTCTTCGGTGGAACATCGTTATTATTTCGTGTTTGCGCACATCGGTAATGAAATGAGTGATATCCAGAAAAAATCAGTAGATTTCACACGTAGTGCTGGTTAACTCTGAATTCTCGACTTGCATCATCTGTTCATATGATATGATCATGAAAAACTCGATAATTGCGTTTTCGACAACCGGGCTTATTAATGGGCTCCGTTACATGGAAATGATCAACTCGAGCATTTCCATGTAACGGAGTGGTGAACTGTCAAAAGTCTAATAGCTTTAGTTAGCTGTACAAATTGTTATCCGATTTGGTGGTTCACGTACGTTAATTCCCTGTCTTCGCACACGCGGTAAAGATTAACGGTTAAGGGTACTCCTAATTTGGCCCGTTTTCAATAAATCGCCAATTTGTTCGATAAATTTTCGCCTAGGACGTCCCTTTCCGACTCTGCCATTCACTTCTGCACCATAAATTTTCTTTGTCACTCTTTCCTCATTCAATCTTTCCGCATGACCAAACCACCGAAGCATTCTTCCTTCCTTTCTTAATCCTGGTCACAACATCATCTTGCAAACCACACTCTTCTCTTATTACACAATTTCTTACCCTGTCATTCAGATTCAGCCCTAACATACTCCTTAACGACCGCATTTCTACTGCGTTAATTCTACTCTCGTGCTTCTTCTGCCACACCCAACTTTCACTAACATACGTTAAAGTAGGGACCAACACAGCATTGTGAATTGCCATACGTGCCTTTTTCGACACATTTTGACTCTTCACAATAGAGTGCAAGGCCCCATTTACTCTATTTCCCGCATTCACTCGTCGTTCTATATCCTTATCATATCTCCCATCCTTGCTAAATACGCAGCCCAAATATACAAACTCATCTACTTGCTCGATCATTTCCCCTTCTATTCTTATTTCACAAATCGTTTTACTTTCTTCTCTTTCAAAAACCATAACCTTTGTCTTACTTACGTTCACTTTCATACCCCTTTCTTTTAATGATCCATTCATTAATGTAACCATCATTTGCAACTCGGCCGCCGACGACGCAAGAATAACTTGATCATCGGCGTACAAAAGGCATTTGACGGTTAACTCACCCATTCTTAATCCGCATTCTTCAACTTTCAAATTTTGCAAACAACTGTCCATAAATAGTGATTTCTTATATTTACGCGAACACTACACATTGAAATAATACTAGTTTTTACGGAATTTATCGCGTATATTTAACTTTTTTAAATACCCGACGTTTCGAACGCTTTACAGCACTCATGGTCACGGGCAGGACTGAGATGTTCAACGTCCATATGTCATAGTTAACCGCGGTTACCATAGATTAAAATTTTAACTTTTGTTCCGATCTATGCACTATGAACTTATGGTATCTTGAAGTCTTGCAGTTGTATGCTTGGGTTGGGATTTAATTTTATTTATTATAGGATCCCAAGCACATGGAAGTACCAAGCCATTTTCTCTATTGAAATAAGGATGGTTTTTGATTTCAATAGTCTCGCGAATCATCCTTGGAAAGAATCGGTGTTCTTTAGCGAGGATCTGCGGTCTATCAAATCTGATGTAGTGACGGGGGCGATCCTGTACGTGTTCACAGACTGCAGACTTCCTGGAGCGTCGATTCTTCACATCAGCTATATGTTCTTTAACGCGGGTTTTTATTGATCTTTTAGTTTGTCCTATGTAGGAGAGACCACATTCACAATCAAGCTTGTACACTCCTGCATCTTGCAGAGGGACATTACACTTGACCGATGGTAAAAACTGACCAATCTTCTTCAGCGGCTTGAAGTATGTTTTGATGGAAGCGCGCTTCAAGATGTAGCCAATCTTGTCAGTGACTCCTCTAACATATGGCAGTACAGCAGGTACACGCTCGACTGTGGCCGGCTTCACTCGTTCACTGTGACGTAGGCGCGGGACTCGAAGCTTGTTGTCATGCAAAACTTGCTTGACATGGTGGAGCTCTGCAGCCAGGTGTTTACTGTCACAGATCCCTCGTGCTCTCTGAAACAAAGATTTGTGAAGGAATATATTACAAATTAAAAAAAAACTTTTTCTAAGAATAGCCTATTATTAGCCACGCCATTTGTATTAATAGTATTTTCGTTAACCATCCTAACTAATCTGATATTGCTTGAACTATGAGATTAGAATATTCGAAGAAGCGAAATCTCGAAATTTTAGATGTCCGGACTCTTAATCAGGCTACTGCCGCTTAATCGAATCCTTTAAGAAATGCAATGGTCTATATGAAGCCGGAATAAAAAAGCTTAAAAAAGAAATAAATAAGAAAAACTGTAATATAGTTTCTTAAGGGAGTGGCTTATGACTAGTACAGTATCATAACGTTGACAGTCTGTTGTTGATTATAAATGCGTTTTTTTCTCAAGGACTTTTAATGTGTGAGTAAGTTGTTTATACTTTTTACAAAATGATATGCAAATGACAACAAAATCTCAAGTTCCGTACATACGTTTGCTCTGAACAAAAATACTGTTACAATAAAATGTATGGGATTCGGACAATACTGCTTCCTAGGCGCTACGGCAGTGCTATTATTTATTCTGAGGCTACGGCACTTGATGCGGTTAGATGCGCGAGGCTATCAGAAAATTCGATGATTGCAGCAAGTGCGATTTTAGATGTGCATTTAGGGCGCATTTAGGTGTGCGTTCTCCGTTACAAGTTAGCTAGATTGCATAATTTTGTACAAAAACTGTATAGCTGGGTGAATATTATCCTTAATGTTGCTGTTACAATAGGGTAAAAGTAGTTTTACGGATATAATAGCATGTATTTTATGTGTAGTTTGCGAACATTTAAGTATGCTTAGTAAAATAGATTTAACTGACCAAAAATCCTCACAATAGAAAATCGATTCCAATTCATTCCTGTCGAAATTCTAAATGGTATTTATAAAAAATCACTAATTCGATAGAGATGATGTCTGTGGATACTAATACCGGCTTAGGATCCAGTAATAAAAAATTGAGTCTAAAATTAATTACACCACTCTAAAAACTCTTTTTGAGTAGGTCAGAGCGCGGATTTATAACAAAGTGAAATTTTAAGGTAGACCTAGTGTACTGCAAAGCACACGAAGCGACGGAAATTAAAAATAAATTAATAACACGTTAAATTCAGAAATTATTTTTATCTAACATATGTAACCTCTTTTGTCCCGATATAAAAAATACAAGAGCGTAGCTAATTTTTCTAATTTTATTTAGTAACATTTGTATCTTTGAAGTCATTTTATACTGATAGCCCTGGTCTTCAATGTTACTTTAACCATGACTGTATCCGACACAATATTTTAATTACGATCAGCCCTACTCTTTTGCGTTGTTCTTGAAGTATATAAGGGCAAATTATTTTTATAATGCTTTAGTATTGGCTTTGCTCGTAAAAAATAACGTTTTGAATTTCAAATCCTTGTATTAATCTTTTTTTTTGCAGAAAAGTTTGAAATTTGTGGTGAATTGATTCAACTTCCTTGTACGAAAATATATCAATCGTCAAATTGCTTAATCATCAAGTCATCATGATCCTGCCTAGTGTGATTTTGCTCAACAGCGTTGTGTAAGTAAACCTTAAACCTGAGTGGAGAGCTTTCGGTGGTGCATGCGGGGTAGGAAGCGTTCGGCATACATTTTGGGAAGTCGTGCCAAGGTAAATGTATTCTTCACTTGCAATCGTAAGAGCGTGTGTTTGTCTTGGACGCCGAACGTGTTGTCTATACTTATTTTACTCGTTGGTGTTTTCCCACCGAACGCTCTTCACCGGAACTTTACTCTTCACGATAATGTTACGAACAGGAATGTAACTGCGCCGGCCTGTTTAGTTTTAACTCTTTAATATGTTAACTCTGATAATTTTTATATCACAAAAGGAAAGATTTAATTTTTACTATGTGCTCATATTAACAACAAAGTTGCCGTTATAATTATAAGCCCCCGGAGAACATTGTGTACGCATTTATAGTCGACTTCTTAAAAAGGAGAAGGTAGTTTTTATATATATACACCTATGTTAAGCGACATCTTCGTCGATTGTTAACCGAATTTATAAATTGTTTTTTTTTTATTCAATAGGTAATATATACTTCTTACATAGAAATTTGAAGAAAAATTTTCTGAAATATAAGATGATGTTTTTAATGGAACTATTCTCTAGACGACGTCTACATGACATTCTTCCATAGTAAAATTTTTTTCACATTGTTATGTCGGTGCTGTAAATCGACTTCAGAATGTTAAATTATTTTAATTTTTTTAGTTTTTTGCTTTTAATTACATTAATTTGGTGTTACGTCATTTTTTTATAGGGAAAGGGTGACAAGCGAGCACACAGTCCACGTGATGGTAAGTGGTTGCTGTGGCTCATAGAAATCCATATCTATCCTCGTTTGCGAAACAAAATGAAGATGCGTTGTCAGCCTTGAGGACTAAGATGGAATGCCTCTTTTCCAGTAAAAAGGGTCTTCGGTTCTCTACACTCACCATACGAAACACAGCAGTGTTAAGCTGCTATTTGACGCTGGTATTCTGTGAGAGCATGGTCCTTCCCTGGTCGAGCCGATCCATTCGTGCTACAACCTACAACCATACTATTAATATAGCTGCAGCATGGCTCTACCACGTAATATATATATATATATATATATATATATATATATATATATATATATATATATTTGGAGTGCAGTTAATTTTAATTTTAAATACGCCTGTCAACCGTGGCAAATATACGTGGTAGAGCCCCGCTGCAGCTATATTCTGGTTGTAGCACGAATGGGTCGGCTCGACCGGGGAAGAACAACGCTCTCACAGAAAACCGTGAAATAGCAGCTTAATACTGCTTTGTTTCGTGTAGAGATCCGAAAACCCTTTTTTACTGGAAACGAGGCTTTCTTCTTAATCCACGGGGGTGACAACGCATCTGAGTTATGATTCTTATTCAAGGATAAGTGTAGATGTCTACGGGCCACAGCATCCACTTACCATCAGGTGGACTGTGTTTTCGTTTGTCACCCATATTCTATAAAAAATACCTCCTTAAGGAACAATCTATCGGGGAGCATATGTTTGCGTGGACATTGTAAATAATGACAAGATCGTTGAGTTTGAAAGAACATTAAACTTATAATACCGTGCATCCAAAATTTTACAACAAAAACCATGAAATTCCATTAAAGTCATTGGAATTAGTATAGTCAGCGTTTCCTTCCCCTCACATATTTATAGCCTTCTTTTTATATGAAGATAATTGTAGGTAAGTGTAAAGTGACTACACAATCCAAGGGCACCTAGCCCTTGGATTGTGTAGTCACTTTCAATTAGGTGGGCTCTATGTTCGTTTATGACTTCAGTTTTATATAAAAAAAATTACCATAACGTTAGGACACAGGGAAACCATAAATAATACGTTGTTCCAAGATACTTAAGATTTGAAAAGGACGAAGAGAGAACGAAATGTGAAATATGGGTAAATCAGGAATGTCTAGAACAGGTAAAAGAAATTGTATACTTGGGGAGTGCTTTCAGCCGGGATGGAATGATGTGATTTAGATGTGGATAGGCGTGTCGCTGCCGAAAACAAAGTCAACGGTGCCCTGAATGCATTAGTAAAAAGGCAAGGCGTGGTGAAGAGTGCACGCCTTGCAATACATAATGCAGTGTTGGTACCGACTTTGTTATATGGCAGCGAAACCTGGGTATGCCAGAAGAAGCATAAAAGCAAGTTGAATGCAGTGGAGATGCGATCTCTTCGTAAAATGTGTGGCGTTACCTTAGCCGACCGAAAGCGAAACGAAGAGATTCGCAATATGGCAGGATTGAAAGATGACCTTATCACAAAAATTGATAGGGGCGTACTCCAATGGTTTGGGCACGTTGAACGAATGAGTGAAGACCGAATGGTGAAGAAAATATATAGAGCGAAAGTAAATATTAAAAGGTGTCGAGGTAGACCGAGACTAACTTTCGAAGACCATGTGAGCAAATTGCTCGAAGAGTGGAGGGTCAAGAGTACTCGGATACCTAGACGTGCATGTATGAAGAAGTTAATGAACCTGAAGGAAGCGAAAGAGGTATGTAAGGATCGTGACACTTGGCGATCTGTTCTCTCTGGCTACCCCGTTAGGGATTGTGCGTGAAGATAAGTAAGTAAGTAAGTAAGTTCCAAGATACATGTAATAACATGCAATTATAGCGTGTAAGCGATACGTTCTTTAGGACGCGTATTATTTTTTAGGACATTCGCCTATGAAATGGCCATGCTTTTTACAAGATGCACCTAGATAATGTTTTCCATTTATGAAAACATTATTTAGGTAAATGATAAGAAATATTTTAAAGTGCAGTATGTGCAGTACGTATGAACATAATTCATAGTATGTAGACAGCAACGCTTTCGATTATTATGATTTTCCAAAACTTGATACTTAACATACTGCAGCGCGAGGCGTGTGCAACTTTCACTAAAATAGTATCAGTGATTTTGAATGTCGCAACACTGAGGAATCTAATTAAGGAAGTTGTGTTATCTGCGAGGGAACCGTTACATGTGGTAATAATAATAATAGGCAAGGTCTGTCCAATGGTGTTACTGCACTACTGATCAAGATGCGAACTCAAGGCTTAGCGTTGTCCTCAATGGAGCAGCAGGAGGTTCTCGAGTGATGTGATGCGGTGTGTTACCGTCGATCACGAATGCAACTATGAAGGCTTAGTCATTGATGTCTCTCTACTTATTTCTTCCTACTCTGGTAGTAAAAAGATCCACGACCCTATATTAACCCGTGGGTATCGTAAGAGGTGACAGGTATGAAAGAAAACAAACTGAAACAGGACATGGGCAGCAGTATCTTACGATAACTGTTTGAAAAACTGCAGTTGCCAACACACCGGTCAAGCAAGGCAACTATGGCAAATAATCTATAAAAAGATTATGTAGGGATACCTAACTTTCGTAACTAGATGACTTTTGATTGACTGAATTGAATTAATGAAACACCAACCACCGTGAAGTTCCTGTAAGAGAATACCCTACCCCATACCATCTCGTGGGTGCTGTAAGTGGAAACAGCGAGGAAGGAGAGATAAAACGAAACAGAAGATGGGTAGCTGCATTTCCATCATTCATTCATTTATCATTCCAACTTTATGACGTGGTTGAGTCATGATGCAGCTACATTAGTAGTATTAGTAGACCAGAATATTGATTAATTTCCCAGGACTCCATTTCTGACACCAAAATTATGAGGATAGCCTGCAGTTGGTCGTTTTAAAATTAAAATAAAAACATCTTGTGTACCCGAAAGGGTTAGAGTTTGACTGCATAATATTTTACACAGTAAAAGATTTTTATTTAAAAATGTTTATAATATGGCAATTACTTCAATATATTGTAGTTTGAAAAGTTCTCAAAATGTGCAGTATCTGCAATTTCGCCAATGATCTGAGTGTTACAATTAACGTCATAAATTTTCTTGCAGAACGTTAACATTCGCTGAACCACCTTCATCCGATAGTGGTCAACAACTGTTACCTTCGCAGGTAATAAATATTTTTATGTTATTGCAATGAAAAGTGTTAGTAAATCCAATTGCAAAACAGCTTGAATTAAGGTTAGAATTATTAAAATATTTTTGCCTTTGCCCCTTTGCCTTTCCTTTATAGCGGTTCATTTTAAGGTATGAACAGTCACTGTTGGCGTAAATCTAAATTGTGAACCATGCGGGAATTAATACCGCAATAATTAATATCGCGGTGAAATTTCGCTGAGGGATTTAATTATTTTGCCTGTGAGTTGTAGTGATCATAGGAGATGTCTATCAGTGTAGGGCGCGTAATGAATAGAGTGCAATATTTGCACGTTTTTAAAAATAATTATTAACTGTTAACAATTTTGTAACTGCATTAATCAAGCATTAATAATGTTATATATAATATATACAATCCCACCTGATCGTAAGTGGTGATGTATCCTGGGATGGTGAAGTGCACTGACTTAACAAAAGCCTATTCACTCTTGCGTTGGAGACACCAACATTGTAATCGGATGGAAAGACAGATGTTGGCAACTTATTTCACTATCTTGCTGTACACATGACAAACGATGTAGCAAACCGTTTGGTTCGAATACGTGGTAAGTCAACAAAGAAGGGGTGGAGACTTCGTTTGTCACTTCAGTTGTACGGAAATATATATTATGTAGATTAACTATAACATAAATCTTGATTTTAATCATATATTTTCAGAACGCCGAAATGCTCCTTCCTCCATCACTATATTCCATGATCGAAAAGTCGGACCAAACGTTAAATAGTCCATTAGTCGCCAGTTACGATACAAATGAAATATCAACAATAAATGACAAAACGAATGTAAATATGACTAGTAATGAAGTTTTAAACGAAGTCGCCGATATAATTTTCAATGGCATACCACAACATGAAAAAGTATTAGAATTGTTGCTACAAGATATTCAACGAGGTAATCATTTATTGCTAGTCGAGAACCGGGGATCGGAAAATAATAAAAGCTCTGACGGAGTACTACAGCTTTTGAATCGCCCAACGGAACACATACAACTGCACCGCGACACAACGATACAGTCTTTGACATTACAACCCACTGTCAAAGATGGCATTGTATTTTACGACGATTCACCACTTATCAAAGCCGTTAAATATGGCCATGTGTTAGTTGTAGATGAAGTGGACAAAGCGCCAACAAACGTGACATGTAGCTTAAACATATTAACGGAAACCGGAGAGATGGAATTGAGTGATGGTAGAAGGATAGCTCCTAAGGAAATGTATAGCACTGAAGACAAATCAGCGTATTTTATTCCTGCGCACAAAGATTTTAGAATAATACTTAAGACTAGTAGAACTGGATTTCCGTTCTTCAAGAAAACCTTCTCTGATAATTTAGGTAATTTTAACGTTGTTGTTAAAATTTTTTATTTATTGGTGGCGTAAAAGGATCCACAGCCCAGTGGCGAAGCTTCCATTAAGGCCGAAAAGCCGGGCTTGCCTTATTAAACCTGAATCAATCAATAATATCAACTAATAAAATAACTCGTAAAATGTTTCAAGCTATTTCAAATTTTCCGCGCACTCCACTGTTCGACACATGTCGACCGATGACCTCGTTTTGCCTTAGCGATACTGTTGCTGTCATAAAAAATGAGTTTTAATACAGCTAATTGTTGTCTCCCTCGCTCGCGTGGGCTTTTTACGGGGCTTTCGAGAAGACGATCGCTCTCTTTCTAGTCTATGGCAAAATATTCTATAATGAAATATAACTACGATTGTGTATATAGCAATTAGTATAGAGATTTAAAGCCAGGCTTTTGGGAATAAATTTGTTAAAAGCGGAGGCGCGCGGGCAATACGTTTGCAAGTTCATTTCACGTTTCAATGTTTATTTACTCTGTGTGCTTATCTTAGTAGATTTAATATTACGAGTTCAAAATTTATGCTTTTTTAAAGATTTTTAATGAAAATGGAGGATAATAGTGTTCCTTGTGATGAATTGAAGTGTGTTAAAGTGGTAATCGGAGAGGAAATCTTTAAACTTTGTTGAGATAGTACACAAGGTTAAGAGTGTATTTCAGACTTATCAATTATCGCAATTAAAACAGTTATTGGTACAATTAAAACGTTCACCAACATTTTACGTGGACGTAATTAAATCTTTGCATAAGAAAGCGAGACGATTCCACTTATCTTATCTCTTATCCATTAGAATGTAAATATATTTTTTTTAATTTTGTACATTGTTTGTACTTTGTTCGTGTTTTACTTTTGTTCATGTATTGTATTGGATGTAAATAATTTTTTTCTTTCGCTTAAACAAACCCAAACGGCTTTCTTCAAAGCCACCGAAGTTATGCAATTGCTGATATGTAATACAATCTATCTAGCAGTGGTATGCCTTATGTGTGCTTTGTTAAACACGTTCTTGACAGCACTGAATACGAAACTGAAGCGTGGAGACAGATCAAGATTGGTGTATTTTATAAAACTGCTAAAAACAACAATCTATATTTTTATCAATTTATATCTTGGGCTTGCCCTAGCTTGAAGCTCTAGCTTCGCCACTGCCACAGCCCTATATTATCCGGTAGGTGTCGTAAGAGGTGACAGAAATGAGATAAAACACAAACAGGGGAATAAATGAACTGGATGGTAAACCCGCTTACCAAAGGAACTTTTGATGGGCTGTAATGAATGACGAATAAATTTTATGACTTGGTAGAATGAATTTAACGAGCTTCAGCTATATTAGTAGTATAGTTGTCGGCTGGACCGGGGAAAGAACACGCACTCAAGAAATAGCAGCGTGAAATTATAGCTCAACGCTGCTGTCTTTCGTAAGGTGAGTGTATAGAACCGGAGACCTTTTATACTGGAAACGAGACATTTCATTCTCAGAGGCGACAACGCATCTGCATTTAGATTCGTAGTCGAGGATAGATGTTGAAAAGGACCAGGTCGGTGTCCCTCTTGATCCTGAAAAGGACCAATTGAAAAGGACCTAGCGGATCGGGTACTAAGAAACAGGAATCGAGGCTTCTCTCGATCCGGCCTCCTATCACGCCTACGTTGGGTTCGGGAACAACGTATGTGATCTCCGCAACGGAGTAACACACTAGGGCGATAACCTCTTCCTTTTCAGCAAGTAGGTTCAGACGGGGATTACGGGTCTTCCGAAGTCGTCCCGGTCCCGACGCCTTAATTCTTCGATGTGGACTGTATAACTTAAAGGATCTTGGGAATGAAACAGCAATTATCTTCAAACCGTTCCGTGAGAGAGTAATCACTTTTCCCTATCACTTCCCTACACTTTTTCTTTCTTGACTGCTGGTTTTGCACTTTTCCCGAAGGATTTTCGTACTTTCCCGAAGGATTCCCGAACTTCCCGAACGAATTGCAATAAAATCAATTTACTATCCTACCCCTAAGCTAAACGCGAAAGTGAGCCGCGCCATCTGCGCGCTTGCGCAACTTAATTACATGAATTTGTACTATTACTCTCTCACGTTTCACTCAATATCTTTATTTATTCAAATCATATACAAATACAATTTATCAATATAGGTAGTACAAAACAATATCTACACCATGATATACATCATATCTTCATATCATAAAAAACCTTTTATTTATTAAACGAAAACTGCCTATTTTACTCACAAGTTCGAAATCGAAATTTCTTAAATATTTAACACAGAAAGTTAAAACAATGTTTCTCACTTGAATTTATATATAAGCTAACCAATACAATAGTTTAATTTACATTTTTTCTATTTATTTCACTATTTAAAACACCTTTAAATTTCTTATACAAAACTATCATTATTTCACTTATACACAGGAATTTTCACATGAAAATAACACAGAATTTACCTTTTTTAGCACGTACAATTAACCTGAAATATTTTACAAGTAATTTTTACATAAATCACTGAATTACAAACATTTTAAATTTTTACATATTCGGCCTCCTAAGGGCGTGGCCAGCGTGCTTCCGTGTACTCACGCTATGTGAACAACTAACTTTGCACGGCTCTCGGCTATCAGAAAAAATTAAATTATGAAATACACCAATTTTGACCATATTAGGCAAATTAAATGCTTTTATACAATTTTCGAACTGTATGAAACTATCTTTAATCAGATAACAATATAAATGAATGTTCTCATTAATCAATCATAACAAATAGGCATTTGTTTTCGTACAAAACGTATCAAACTTATACAAAACAACATTTATGCAATTAATATCCATTAATTCTGCCTATGCACAGAGTGATTATCTCGACCGGGGAACAAATCCGATCTTTAAACTTCACTTTAATATTCTTATGAATTTACATCATTTGAAAGATGATTTCAACCGGGGAACAAATCCGGTAACATAATTTATATCTTAAATTCCTTACGAATTTATTAAGCGATATTACTTAGGAAAACAAACAAACTAGTCCGGCCTGGGAGTCGAACCCAAGACCTTCATATCATTAATTCGACATTTCTTAAAGATTTAACTAAGCATTCTCTTATCAGAGCGTCGTTGCTCGTGACTGCCCCTTTTTTCATAGCAACGTCATCGGTTGATTTAATAAACTGAAACATTTTATAGGCGCGTCGCCAACAATCTCCCCCCCGTGCGTTAGCACCATCATTTGGGAGGCGTCGCGGGTACCAGGACTATTATTCTGGATGTAGGTCTCCTCAAGATACCTGTGCTAGTAATGACGTCAACCACTCTGGTGTGACCGTCTGGTCCCGGTAACGTTCTACTAATTTTACCTTTTGGCCACGTATTTCGTGGCAACGAATGATCTATTATCAAAACAATATCGCCTTCTTTAGGTTCCATGAACTTGCCGTTATCACCTGTTCGAGGTATTAACGTAGGCATATATTCTTTCAGCCATCTTGTCCAAAAATGGTCGGCTAACCTCTGTGCAGCTTTCCAATTGAGTTGACCCGTTAGATGTCGCTCTAAAAATAATCCAGGTGGTCGATCACCACATGAGCGTCCCAGAAGAAAATGATTGGGTGTCAAGCCCTCTTCAGGACTATCCATACTGAATGTTACCAGAGGTCTGGAATTTACCGTATGCTCTGCTTCTAAAAGTAACGTATGTAGAACCTCCTCTCGTGGGCTCTTCTCCTTAAGCGTAGCGGTCAACGCAATTTTAATCGATCTTACTAACCTCTCCCAGGCGCCACCCATGTGCGGTGCTCCCGGAGGTATAAATTTCCATTTAATATATTTCTTAAATGACTCGTTTTTCATGCCCTCATAGCATTCTTCGCATGCTTTCAATAATTCTTTATTTGCAGCTTTGAAATTTGTCCCGTTATCGCTGTATATAACGGCTGGTTTTCCTCTTCTGGCGATAAATCGCCTTAACGCCATTATCATTGACGCTGGTGTCAATGAGGCTGCTAATTCCAGATGTACTGCTCTGGTGGTCAGACACGTGAATAAAACGCCCCAACGTTTTTCGTGTCGCCTTCCTATAGTCACACTCATAGGACCAAAATAATCTACAGCTGAGCATGTAAAAGGTGGCTCATGATGAGCTATTCTTTCCAGAGGAATATTTCCTTGTGGCACGTTTTGCGGCTTTGACCTGTATGTCCTGCACCACTGACAATGGTGTGACACACTTCGTACTACATTACGCAAGTTCAAGACGTAAAATTTCTGGTTCACCTCATTCATCACCGTCTGGTGATTGGCGTGTCCAAAATGATGATGAACTTCTCTAATCATCATTTTAACGATTTCGTGTTTACCGTCTAATATGACAGGTTTTCTACTTTCCTCGGTCAAATTAGACTTGAAAGGTAAACGTCCATTTAAACGGAGTAAGTTATCCTCTCCTATTTCCATAGATAATTTACTTAAGCGTGAACTTCTTTCAACGCTTTTGCCTGCTTTCAAACATTTTATTTCCGAATGAAAACACTCGTCTTGAATGAATTTCCAAATTAATATTTCCGCCTTTTTCAAGAGCGCTGTGTCCAACGCGCTATCGGGTCCTTTAACCGACTTTGCTAAAAGTTTGCTGGAACACTTAACCGACTTTTCGGTTGCGTCGTCGGGTCCTTTAACCGACTTTCTTAAACTCTTGAATTTTTCTACCGCTTGTAAGGTGCGTGTAGTTGCCCCAAGGAATTTCTTAAAGCTGCTAAATCGTCCGTAGTCGGGTAGACTTAACGGTTCTTGCTTTCTCAGCGCATTTACGCCTTTTGGCGATTTTTCTTCACCTGTTTCTAAGCTATTTATGGTGTCCACTTGTTTGGGCCATAAATCAGGACTTTTCCTGAGGAATTCAGGTCCTTGAAACCAGCGATGACTTACATCGAAGGTGGAAGGAAAACTTCTAGTGGCGTCGTCTGCCACGTTTT